TTGCCTATACGTGAGCAAGCAAGAATTTTTGTTTGGTTCTTCTGAACGAAGTTGCAAATTTGTTTACATAGGTTTTTGTTGCTTTCAGGTGCATGTTTTTTTTTCATTTTCGGCTTAGAACTTTGCGTAGATTGAAGCTGAGGTGGTTAGTTGAGATTATCTTGTAGAGCTAGGTTTGCGCTATCTAATGGTATATCAAATCCTATTTAGAATACAGGAAAAATCTGGATTATTGCGGTCTGTACCTATTTTGGTGCAGGAATTATGCACAACTTACGGCCTGTACCTATTTTGGTGCAGGAATTATGCATCAACCTGTCTGTACCCGTTTTGGTGCAGGAATTATGCATCAACCTATACTTTGATTAGCAAGAGATAGTTCATGGTGTCCCTTAAGGTAGATATGCACTTTTTATTCTTTAACTAATTTCAAGTCTTCAACTTCAAGTACCATATGACTAAGAAGGCTGCAACTTTTGTTAGATCTACAATACGGAGAAAACCCATCACTCTTCATTACTTTACTACAGTTGGAGCTCCATGCAAACTTTGAAATAAGCCGTGAGCAAAACCCAAAAAATCTGGGAAGTCGTGTACTAGTGTTTTCAGGGATGCCTTCATTATACAACTCAAAGAGTTTGCGAGCGTTACAAATGCTTTGATCCCATTTGAAGAAGATTGAGAGATTGTGATAATTTACCCTGGTATAACTTACGGAAAAAGTTTTCAGAGTGCGGATTTCATAATTATGATTATCGATTCAGATTAGCCTAGTGTAAAGTGGCTCCTTGAATATCCAATTTTGAGCAGTATTAGCCATTATTTTCAAAAATTCTTCAAGAAGAGCGGTGAATCGCTCCATAAAAAATAGCATTTGAAGCCAAGCGAAGGACTTTGTTGGATGAGAGTTGAACAATAAAAAAACTGTGTACCTAATTTTAGGAAACCTGTAGATCAAATTATGACAACTTCTTGCTTCATTTTAGGAACTTTGCTAATTCGCTTTTGAAGAATAAATTTTGATAACGGTAATTACATCTCACAGAGATCAACCATTTTGCGTTATTCAAAATGGTTAACAAATTCCGAAAGTATCAAACAAAGTAGACTTAGCTTGTTTTCACTCATTACCTTCTTCAGTATGGCTCATGGACTTACACCGGAAGAAAACTAGATCTTCGCATTGACGATACTGATCTTACAGAGAGGCATAAAATGGATCTGACATATTATGTGCCCAACGGAGAATTTGATCTGCTCGGTAGGTTGTGAAAGCTGATTTTTCAAAGCAGCATAAAGCCACTGGCATTACAGCAACACCAGCCGACCGAATCGAGTCGATATTC